CAAGATGAGTAGCACATGGCCCCTGCCCTTGAAGCACTCACAGTCTGGTGAAGGAAACCCACACGTAAGTAGTTAACCTACAATTGGCCTCTGAACCACTTTGGCCCTGATGCAATGTGCCCATTCATTTGCCAGCTCCCATCAACTCGCCTGTCTTTTTAGTGGTTTATTTATATACCTATGCTTGATCTTTCCAACTGGATTGTGAGCACTTTCAAGGGTAGCTTCATATTATAGAAATGCCTGTATTTAGTCCAGTTAGGTACACAGGAGGTACTCAATAAATGCTTGTTGAATGAAGGTGTTACCTCCACAACTCAAACATGGTCCCATGAAGAAGGTCATTTCCTTTGCCAGGAGCCATTTTTGCAGAATATTCTTGAGGGTCTTGCCCTGTTGAGGAGTGAGGGTTCTGAACCAGCCAGGAATGCCAGCATCTACAGCGTCTCCTGAGCTATACACGTGAAATCAGCTCTAAATCTCAGAGGAGTCTACAGTGGCTGTTCTGGAGCTTTGAAACCCAATGGAAGTTGTTTCCAGAAATAGAGTGAGAAGCAGGGAGTACTTTGGAAACAAAGGAGAGCAATATTGGAGCTTCAACCTTCTCAGAATTTGTTTTCTTTTCCTCTGAAAGGGGCTAGTTTGCAGAAGTCAAGAGAGGAGGCGGGAGCACCTTAACGGAAAGAAGCAGGATGCAGCAACAGAACACGGGCCCCTGTCTCAGAGCCCACTCTTAGCCCTCCACCACACAGGGCAGGGGACTTGAGATTGCTCTGAGGTCAGGGAGAGGCAGGAATGAAGTGGGGTTTCAGATCTGGGCCCCTGAGTTTTCCACGTTGCTCTGAAGATGGAACTACATTGTAAGGATTGAGCGTATGGGAGGAGGGGTGGGCGGGAAAGATGTTTTCTTAGAGCCTCGCTTAGGCTAAGAATACTATGTTTTTCAGCTATTTAAGAGAGATAGGAAAGAAGGAACAGTGAGTACAGATCTGCTAATGAGGTGGTGATGCCTCCTGGAGAGCAGGCAGTCATTCCAGGGGGCCTCCAGACGGGGGAGTGAGGAACGCCCAGCCTGAGCTAGAAAGAAGGCTCTTGACTGGCTCCTTACCTGGGAAAGTATCTTCTGCATTCCTGTTGTTTTATGGAGGAGGAGAGAGACAGAGAGAGAGGCACACAAACTGACACTATTGATTTTCTCCCTTTAACGTTCACCCCTTTAACGTCCACCCCTTTAACGTCCACCCCTTTGCCCTCATCCCCTCCATTCTTCAGGACTTCCCAGCTGCAGTGTGTCTACATAGTAAGAAGCATTTGGTTCAAGCCCAGATGTCAATCACTCTGATAAATGGAAACGGCTAGATTTGGGGCTAAGAATCTGCAGAATGGTATCTGGCTCAAGATAGCCTTCTATTCAAATATTTCATCTTCCCCAAAGCAGTCTCTACCAGTCAGGGTCCATTTGTCTCCACCTTATAGACTGTGCCCTCCAAGTCAAGGGTCAGCCCACCATTGCATTGCTGGGAAGTCCTCCTCTGGCCGGTGCCTGGGCCCTGGACTGCTGTGGTCCCTCTGGGTTGCCACCCTACAAACAGAGCAAATCGACAAATGGGCCACCAGATCTCCATTCAGCTGTACCAAATGCTAAGGAATTCTTAACATTCTCACATGCATTTTTAATAATAATAGCCACCAATTATTATGTAGCAAGGTTGCAAAATTATACACTATAGTAAAATGTACAAGAAAATGTAGTTTCATTTCCTATAAAATCTTTCTCATGAACTCCCACCCACCCCACCCAGGCAGCAAAATGGGGAAATTTATATTTGAATTTGTCCATTATAACACCTCAATGTCTTCAGGTTTACTAAGGAGTCTCATTTAGCTGACCCAGTGTCTTTCAGGAAAACACACGTGCTTGAGATGGCCTTTCCTTCTCCCGCTCAATTTCAAGGTGGCATTTTATGTTATAAGGTGCTTACTTCACCTGCTTGTGGTATGGAGAAGGGGGCCTCAGACTGATTAGGGAGCTCGGAGCCCACAGTCCTCTGGGATCTCACCAGAGGCTGACTAGTGGCCTCTGAGGTGTGACTGGTCCCATCTGGCCGATGAGGTGTCATGCTGACACTCTCCACGAAAGGCCCTAATCCCAGCCCTTTGCTTCCACTTGAGAAGCCCCAATTGCAGCCATCTCTTCTTCTGGACCCCAGGTGACAGGCCCTCAAGCAGCTCTCTATCCCCTCACCAGGGCCCTGGGCAGAGGTGAGCTGATAAATGTTTAATGACTGGTTCTTAGAGGGTGGAGGAGGAGTGGAGGAGAAGCCATAATTGTAGAATTTGCCTGTTTCCATGGTGTAAATTCTCCCACCGTGGTGGCTTTCAAGTTACCAACATGAGGCCACTAAGCATGGAGCTGGGAAGAGACATGCACAGTCAGTTGTCGTGAGCTGGTACGAACTGGCTTCAGCCCCCACAGGCCCTCGGGAACTTCTGGAGTCCCTACAGGTCACACGACACTATCTGACTCACCTCCTCCCTCCAAGTCCACCCCATGATTACTTATGCCCTCAGATGTGGTTGTGGTCAGAGTTCCACCTAGGTTTTTAGTCTCCCACCAGCAGGGTCCTGGGAAGCCCACCCATCCCATGGTGATGGAGAGTCACCCCCATTCCTGGATGGATGTTCTACTCCAAGAGGGTGAAAGCAAAGATGTGTGCTTCTGACAACTCCACCTTCTGCTCGCTATCTCCTTCCCGGGATCAACTAAGGCCAAAAGTATCAGTCTTTCCACATCTCTTCCTCTCTAGCAAGGACCTCACTGTGTCACATTCTTCTCATTCCCAGGGTCTCAAGCCTCATAGCCATGTCTTAATGGCAGAAGAGGTTTCCTTCTATACTATGGAACCTATTATATGACATGAGTCCTCCAGATGGGGATTACCAGGGATGAAAATACATTGATTTAATATCCCCAAAATATTATCTGTGTTGCAACTATTTAATACGTGTGAGACAAGGTGCTAAGTCTCTATGCACACTATTTTATTTAACCATCACCATAATCATAAGGGGGCTTGTTCCCGTTTTACAGATGAGTTAATGAACTTAAAGAGGTTAATAACTTGCCTAAGGCCATTTAACTAGCAGAGGCAGAATTTGAACTCAGGTTGACCTCCAAACCTATGCTTTTCACCTAACGCTAAATTATGGAGGCACAAACTTTCTCTTTGTTCTGAGGCTGTTGGAAGTTCCCATGGATACTACAGGCATTTTTTTTTTTTTAATGGGGAAGGAGTGGTATTGCCTAAGAAGGGCAGCCATTAGACATATTTTTCTACTTCTCTGTCGTGTCCAAGGAACGTGGGGGAGAGGGTGTTGGCAGAAATGGTGTCTCACCCATCACTCCCAGACACTCAGTACCCCTGCCATCCAGCTATAGTAGGAGTAGCTAAGGCAGAGTACCCAAAGGAGCAGAGATTTTCTCCAACCCACCCAACCACACCTGGAGAACATGCTTCTCTCTAGTAAGGGCACCATCACCCCTGGATGCTCCTACCAGAAACATGACAGTCAGTCTAGACTCCTCTCACCCCACTGTAGGCACATCACCTGGTATTGTAGATAATTGGACCCCCAGAATATATCCTGGGTGCACCCACTTCTCTCCTTCACCACTACCGTGGTCCAAGCCTCCGTCAGCTCTCTCCTAGACTTCTGCATCCTACTTGTTTGCCATGTATCAGCTCTTGCCCCCTCTACTCCGTTCTCTGCAGAGCAACTAGAGTGAGCTCTTTAAAACATCAATGGTGTGATTTAACCCCCTTGCTAAAAATCCTTTAATGTTTTCCAGTCTCACTTAGAAGAAAATCCAGTATCTTTAAAGGGACCTATAAGGCCTTGTATGGTCTGTCCTCTGCCCGCCTCTCCCTGGCCACTCACCACCCCGGGCCATGCAGAGTTCACTCTCCTCAGTCACACTGTCCCTTTAGGCTCTTTTCCTCCCTTGGGCTTTTGCATTTTATTCCTTCTGCCAAAATACTCCTTCACACAACACTCTGTGCTTGGCTGGCTCCTTCACAAACTTCCCATCTCAGCTTAAAGATGACCTGCTCAGAGAGGCCTCCCCTGACTTTCAGCTAAAGAAGACCCTCCCTGCTTGTCCCTCTTACAAGCCCAGATTTTATCTTTCATGGTTTTCCCACACTTTGCCGCTGTATACATGTTAGTTTACTTGCTCGTTGCCTGTCTCCTCCAGCCTGCCAGCCCAGGAGGCAGGGCCGTCATCCACGTTGCCCATTGGTACGTATCCAGCACCTGGCACATCATAGGTGTGACTGTTGACTATGTATGGTAACTCCAGAACTCTGACATAAAGTTAGGACATGATTCAATTCAGATTTTAATGAATAACTACTTCCCAGCACTGTGCTCAGTGTTGTGGGAGTTACAGGGGAAACACAGTGCTCATTCATCTGGCATTTGTTCATTTAACCCTAACAGGTAGGAGAGAGGCAGGAGGAGGAAAGACTAGGGGAGGTGGCAGAGCTGTGATAATAGAAAGGACGTTGGGCTGACTGCATGGTCTGAATAAACACCTTGGTGATCACCTGTAACATAGGAAACACCTCAGCTCAGCTCAGATCCCCTCAAGGTGGATATTCCCATGTTAATCTATACATGTACATGTTATTGCACTTAAGTACATATGTGCAAAGTGGAGCTTCTGCTACTAGACTCTAAACTCCTTGAGCACGTGGCAAGCACAAGGGGCAGGGAGTAGACATTCAGTACGTGTGTAGATATCCAGTAATTTAAAAAGCAAGTAGAGAGAATAGTCTTATTTTTGCCAGTTATCCAGGTTTTGCTCCTAATCCTTCCTTCTAGTTATTACATGAAGAATTGAGAATTTTAGATTCTTTGTACAACTAGTTCTCACGTTATTTGAAAAATTAGCTGATTGGACCCTCTCTTCTTTCCTTCTCTCCCTTCCTCAAACAAAGCATCCCCAGAAGCTTCAACTCTGGAGGCGATGGGTCGAAAGGAAGACGATGACTGCAGCTCCTGGAAGAAACAGACCACCAACATCCGGAAAACCTTTATCTTCATGGAAGTGCTGGGCTCGTGAGTCCTGGGGTGCAGACGGGGCGGCTGGGCTGCCTGCTGCGGGGAGTTGGAAGAGTTGTTCTGGGCCAGCATCAGCTGATAAATGGGGACTGGGCTGCTGTGACATCTTCTCAATAGATCTGAGGGACCTGGGAGGTAGAGTGGGGCCTTAGTGGGGTAGAGTAGGGAAGGTCCCTTGGGGTAACACAGAGGATCATTTAATACACTAGAGCCCTCAGGGAACACTGGCCCCCCTAAACCCCGCAGTGACTCTCGCCCTAGTTTCAGATCAGTGACAACCTACGAGTTCTTGCCCTGGTGGCAGGAAAGAAGAGTTCTGGAGCACTTCTGGAGATTCAGTGACCCTAGAACTTTCCTGGGCCTCCTCATCCAGCTTCCTCACTTCCCCTGGCAGTGAACAAGTCAACTCCACTCTCTGCTGTAGATGGAAGAGAAGGGGCTTCTAAGGCTCAGGGAGCTGATGGGTTATACACACCTGAATCAGCTCCCCCAACTCCCACCATCCTCTCTGTTCCATGTTTAAGTGCCATGTTGGAAAACTAAAGTCACGCTGTAGCCCAAACTTCTATTAACCTCCAGGGTATCCGTGCCTGCCCCTTGACAACGATTACACGGCTTGAGGAGCAGAGATAGCTTGTCTGGAGCTGACTCTCCACTTAGTCCTGCCTCTCCTCCGGGAGGTTGCAGTCTCTGATGCAGGCTGGCAGCAGCTCTGGGCCACCGGCTCCCATCGCCTCAGAACCCCAGCTGGTCAGCTAATTAGCCTGGGCTAATTGGGCCCAGGGAAGTGAGGGGCAGTTAGCTGGCTGTCCATTCAACCAAGCTTTCGCTTTAGCCAACTCTGGCTAAGTTTAGCTCCCTCTGCCTTGGCTGGGAGGCAATGACCTCAGGCGATAACCCCACTCTCGCTGTAGACAGAGAGGAGCCAGGCGCAGCCCTGAGAGGAGGCCTCTGAGCCCTCCCTGAGCCCAAGTGTCGGGCTCTGCACACAGAAAGATCTCAGCGGTGGCGCTGGTCATCAGAGTGTTGGCCGGCCATCAAGGGCCTTTGCCAAGACGGGGGTGGCTAGAGAGGGGGTTTTTGGCAAGAGAAAGAGACAAGACTCATGAGTGAATCAGAAATGATCTGCTATGCATCCCAAAAATCAAGAAAAGGAAGCCCAGGTTGGCAAGAGCTTATTCACTGTGCTGAAGGACTATCAGAAGACAGACACATGCTGTCTCCATGGAGCTCAGTGAGGTCTGCCACAGCAGCTTCTAAACCCAGGGGTACATCAGAGGCACCTGGGAGCTTATCCCGCTGACTTTTAATTGTGAAAATGTTTAAGTAAAGAAAAGATGAAATAATAGTACAGTGAACACCAATATACCCACCACCTAAATTCAACAATTGTTAACATTTCACTAAATTTGTTTTTCACACACATACATATGTCACTGAACAATTTGTAAACAGGTTGCAAATATCATGACGCATCACCTCTGAATCCTTCCATCTGCATCTCCTAAGAACAAAGGCATTTTCTTCCATATCCACAATATTATTGTTACACTCAAAAAAGTTAATAATAATTCCCTAATATTTTAGCCTAGGTAATTTTTGAAAAATACAGATTCCTGGTCCCAGACCTGCTACACTGGGATTTGGGGAGATAGGACCCAGCGGCCAGAAATCTCTATTTTAAGTGCCCCTGGTGGCTCTAACGGATTCAGCCCTGCACCGATCTGAGGGAAGCGGAACGACAAGACGGGGGGCAAGTCACAGCTGATGCAGCATTTAGGGCTGAGCAAAAGCTGAAGAGAAGGCACCTCTGTGTGCTCAGGAGGGGGACAGGCAGCCCCAGGCAGCAGATCCTGTGGAGTTACCAAGGTGAGGTGCTGTGGAAGGGGAGCAGATGGGCAGAGCAGACTCCCCTGATCAGGATGCACCAGAATTCCGGGCAAAGACCTCTTTTCTCTGGCCCTCAGCTCCTCTGGAACAACCCCCAGGGAGAATAGGCTTTTGCTAAATCGGCCCAGCCACCACCCACAGTTTCGGCACCCTAGGGCAGCTGTTGGGACACTGGGCAAAGCTAGTCCCCAGCAGGTAGGTCACCCAAGTCTCAGGCCTCCTCCTTTCTCTGCCCAGGAAGAGATTTCTCTCCTTGGTTTCGCCCCCACCTCCCCCACCACCCAGGCTCCCAGCAAGAGTGGAGAACTACCCAGAGCAGGAAACGCAAACCAAGTTCTGTTGCAACAAGCACTCCTGGCTCTGAAGGCTCTGCCTTTCTTGCCTTCTGACCCAAGCAACCTTGGCTGCTCAAAGCTAGGTCTCTGCTCCCCAGTCTGACAGATGGCACAATTAAGTCTTCTAGTCGCTCTCCCTTGCCCCTGCCAGACACACTCCAAATACGTGCACGTGCACCCACCCACACACACAAACTGTATAAAATGGCCTGAGGCAAAAGAACAATAACACCATTTCAAATTGCCACAACATTGCACAATTCTGGGAGGTGCCATTTACGTACATTGCAACGTAAATGGCAGCCCCGGGAAGGGCTTAATTTGGTCTCATTCCACAAGAGGACCCAGAGTGAGTGTCAGCTTTGAAAGCAGGAGACCATCCATGAGTAGTTCTAAATGCACAGGTGAAAGGGAGAACTCTGAAGTTGGATCCCAGAATGTCACAGGTGGAAGGAATCTTTAAGGCCATGTGGTTCAACTCTCTCATTTTACAGATAAGGAAAGTGGAGTCTAAAGATGAGTAGAACACATAACTCATCCCAGTCCAAACTTCTCACAAATCCATCCATCCATCTATCCATCCATCCATCCATCATCCATCCATCCATCTGTCCAGTACACAAACACTTATTGAGAATTTTCCATAAGCATCCAGGCATAGGACATGGTACCCATCTCCATTCACCTCCCATTGTTCCCTGCCTCATACTTCACAAAGGGTGCTGGACTACCTTCTGGCAGCCCCACCCCTACCTGCTGTTCTGCACCTCCATGCTTTTTCTCATCCCTCTTCCCCACCCCCACATGAAGCATCACTTCCAACTTGTTTTTTTCACTGGGCTAACGTTCATTCATCCCTTAAAACTGAGTTCAGAGTGTTCTTAAGTCCGAGGGCCATGATTTATGTGCTCCTCAGCTATCCCAAGTGGTCACATTGTACAAACTAGGAAAAAGTGCCCTTTTCTCTAGCCTGCTCTCTACTGGGGGAAAAAATGTTGTAATAATTATTGTATGAAAGTGTACAGTGGCTCCAAGGTGAATGGCATCTGCTGGAAGTGTGCAGCCTACAACCTGCCCAATCAGAGCAGAGGCCCTGTCTTAAGTGTCCATTTTCTGTGGTCTCGTAATACCCCCTGCTTATCTGTATGCATCTATCTCTCACACTAGATTCTAAGCTAGACCAACACTAACCCCAGTGCTGAACACAGAGAGGTTCTGTCAGCTCCACAAGCTTTCACTGAATGCCTAATAACATTTTCAAATCAAATGTTAATTGCTCATTTGTCTGTTTCTTCACTAGTCTACAGGCTTCCTTAAGAGCAGAAGCACTCACCTCTTTATCTCCAGTGTCTAAGACTCAGTAGATGTTCAATAAATCCTGATTGAAGGGCTGAGTGAATGAACGAATGAATGGAGCAAGCTCTGAAGGCTGTGATTAACTCACTTCTAAGGGCAGCTGGGGAAACAGAAAGCCCAGACACAGGAAGCACCGAGTATTTTCTAATGCAGATTCTGAAAGTCCTTACACAGCTTGACTGCTATTGGCCTGCATTCTAGAATACCCAGATGGCAGGGGCGAGCATGGCTCAGCTGTTTCCTCACTTAAACTCTATCTCCTCTTGTGACTACCAGGTGTTCTCCCAAATGATATTCAAATGATAATAATGATAACAATAATAGTATGTAACACGTGGTTTAATAGATGTCCGGTAGGCTTTTAAGCACTTTACATATATTAACTCATTTAATCTTCTAAACAACTCTATGAATCAGATATTGTTGACATTCTCACTTTTCAAATGAGAACCTGGGTGTATAGAAGTTAAGTGACTTGCCACCCAAAAAGCTGAGGTTCTAACATGGGCAATCAGGCGCCAGCATCCACCGCTAGCTAACCGCTGTTCTGATGGCCTGGTCTCCAGAGGACCCCCTTCAAACCAAGAAGTCTGTAATTTGGAATCCTATAGCGTGTTTGCATTGGATTCTATCTTGTCTATCTTCAGAAAGACTGCCCCAGAGCTGCTGGGTTCTGTCTTTTGTTCTTACAGACGCTACTGAATGAGAGGATGCTCAGCCCCCTTGTCTCTGATCATTGGTTCAAGGTGATTATCACCTTCTAAAACTGATACAGGAGTCTTTTATTGCTCACTGTGTCTGAGCCCTGTCCCCCAGTGCTACCTCCAATGGCCACTCCAGCATGCCACACTGCACCATGTTGGAAGAAGCAAAGCAAATAGACTGTGCAATGACCTCTCTTTAATGGGTTTGCCAAGTGAAGAAATCTTTTCACAGCTAAAGCATAGTCTCTGGGAGTCCTTCTCAAATTATAGAACCAGGAAATAGCAACCACCTAGTCCCCAAGTCTGTAGTAGAATCTTTTCTTTCCCACATGATCTATGAAAGAAAGGACACAATGGCAAATCAGATAGGCTCTGCCATCAATACAGTACATCAGGTGCCCAGAACAACAAGGGAAACTTATTACCAGCCACACCTTCCTTCATCTTCCCTTTGGTTTTGCCTCCAGCAATGTTCTCCAGCCAGCCAGTACTAATTTTTATCTCCTGGTGTCTTCTATTCAGAGGAGCTTTTTCGGAAGTTTTCTTGGTGAAGCAAAGGGTGACTGGGAAGCTCTTTGCCCTGAAGTGCATCAAGAAGTCACCTGCCTTCCGGGACAGCAGCCTGGAGAATGAGATCGCTGTATTGAAAAAGTGAGTGGTCCTAGAGTTGGTCAGGTACAACTGTGGGATCACAACATTTCCTTCACAAATTACCTTCGAGAAGGACTGGGGCTGGATTTCCACACCCAAAGGCGTTGCTCCCATTGATTGAGCTGATGGGTCAGTTTGATCAATCAGCTAAGTTTAGCTAGATAGCCATCTTGGCTGATTTATTTTTGTAGCAAATTGACTAGTAAACCAACTGGTAGCAGAGCTGGTTTGTGCACGTAGACCAGAGAGTAATTAGCTCAAAGGAACAAAAATCCATTGAGAACCAATACCAGGAAGAATCAATAATTAAGGAAGTAGCATAAGATTTGGAAATTAGCCTCAGTTTGTACCAAAGCAAATGTAAGTTTGCTTCACCATCATAATAGAGGCTATAATAACAAATCATCACATGTTTACAGTGGGACTCGTATAATAAACCCTATTGTATGCCAAAAGTATATTAGACGTTAGGACTGAATGAGGCTGACAAAATTCCTTACCCTCAGGAGCTCACGTTTTCTGGGTGGAGACAGAGGTGCTCATAACAAACTCTAATCCCGTTGGATGTGAGCCACACTAACAGAAGAGGAGACAGATTAGAGGAGACAGATTCATTCTGCCTACATGTGTGTTTTTATGAGTATTGATTATTAGGTACATTTTCAGAGAAGTGGGACCTGATAGATGAGTAGTAAGTTGTGGAGGCAGGAGGGGCAGTGCAGAAAAGGAATTCAGGCCGAGAGTAGCATAAACTGTAACGTAGAATCATGGAAGTGCGAGGGATGTTAGAGAAGAGTCAGTATTGGAAGCCTCTGAACCTAGAGTGAGTACCGTCACGGGACAGGAGATGAAACCACAATGGTCAGTAGGACCTCATTATAAAGGGTCTTGGATGCCATGATCAAGAATGTTGACTTTTGGGGCCAGCCCTGTGGCGTGGTGGTTAAGTGAGCGTGCTCCGCTGCTGGCGGCCCAGGTTCGGATCCCAGGTGCACGCGGACGCACCGCTTGTCAAGCCATGCTGTGGTGGCATCCCACTGTGGCGATGTCCCACATAAAGTGGAGGAAGATGGGCACGGATGTTAGCTCAGGCCAGTCTTCCTCAGCAAAAAGAGGAGGATTGGCATGGATGTTAGCTCAGGGCTGATCTTCCTCACAAAAAAAAACAAAAAACAAAAAACAAAGAATGTTGATTTTATTCACGGGCAGAGAAAAGTCATCAAAGGATTTTATGTAAGGAGTCACATGATCAGATTTATATTTTAGAGCCATCCCTCTTAAGCATGGTGAAGGATGGATTGGAGGATGCCAGCCTGGAAGATGAGAAACCAGTTATAAGACTTTCTCAATAATCTAGGCAAGAAATGAGGATACAAGCAAAAGTAGTGGCAGGATCATGTGGGGGCAAGAAGACTGGGTTCAAGAGACATCTCAGAGACAGAAGTGATTGGGTTTGGGATTCGCTGATAAGAATGTAAAAGAGAAAAGCATTAAAAACGGCCCTGAGATTGAGCAATTAAGTGGACAGTAATATCGTTGCTTGGGATAGAGAACAAAAAGGACGTGTAAGCTTGGAAGGAGGAAATAGAAAAAAAAAAGGGTTGGAACATATTGAATATAAGTATCCATCTATCTCTACACTGAGGTGTCTGGTAGGATGTTGGAGATATAGGTCTGGGCTCCAGAGAGATTAGAGCAGAGACAGACTGTAGACTCATAGAGAACAAGGACTATACTGGTCTTTCTTACCATTGCACTGTATTATTAGACCCTAACAGCATAGGTGCTCAATAAATATTTGTTCACAGAGTGAATCAATGATAAATTAATGTTAGCATTGTCAGCTTATAAGTGTAGTTGAATCCATCAGGTAACCACTGCAAGAGGTTCTATATTTTTAGAACTATCTTAAAGATAATAGCTACTATTGATTATGTGTTTGCTATTCCCCAGGCACTGTACTAAGCATTTTACATGCATTATCTCTTTTAATCCTGATATAACTGTAAGAGAGAGATGTACTTGACAGACAAGGAAAGTGAGGCTTAGAAGATTTGGGTAAGCCAGTCAAAGTTACACAATTAGTAAGCGCCTATGACAGATCTGAACTCAGACCCAATTGACGTAGAGTCTAAGTTCTTAATGCCTGTGCTGCCCAGCCATGAGTAAAACCCCCTAGAAATTGTCCTACTGGATAGGCATGCACAGAATTGCTGCCTGGGAAGCCAAGTCCACAGTTAGTATGATTATTCTGCTTGCCTCGGCCTCTGAGTAAGCCCAGGCAGAGGTAATCTAGAGCCAGGTTTCCCAACCGCAGGGCTATTGACATTTTAGACCAGATAATTTTTTGTTGGGTTGGGGGCTGTCCTGTGCATTGTAGGATGTTTAGCAGCATTCCTGCCTCTACCCACTAAATGCCAATATCACCCCCCCCTCCTGAGTTGTGATAAAAATGTCTCTAGATATTGCCAAATGTCCCCTGAGGGATAAAATAGCCCCTGGTTGAGAATCACTGATCTAAGGCATCCACAGAACTGACCCCCAAAACGAGCATCTGCCCTGCTTCTTACAATATCCTGGAACAATAATTTTGCAACACTTCCTCAGTGATTTCCCATGAGGAGGCTTAGCTAACCTAAATCCCTCCTGTTGCAGTCCACTTTCTTCATGCGATGTTTCTGAAGGAGATCTGGATACACATTTTGTAGAATAATCTAATTGGGGGTGCTTCCTTAGCCTTCCTCAGTTCTTGTAACTCTCTTTTGGTAAAGTTTAAAGAGATTCCTAAAGTAACAATGAAATGTTTGTTCCCTAAAGGCAGGATGATCAGTTATCCATTCAAAAATATGGATTGAACTCTACTCTGGGAATCTTTCCTCTGGGATTTCTTTGTCACTGCCTACTTATTAGGAAGGCTTCACAACGACATGATCTTCCTAAACATTATCATGAACAGTCTCTAACAGAAATACAAGTCCAGCTGGGCTGGGTCTGCATTCTTTGTCTGGACAACCTAAGCCACATACCTTGTCACCATGACCTTTATTTTTCCCCAGGATCAAGCATGAAAACATCGTGACCCTGGAGGACATCTATGAGAGCACCACTCACTACTACCTGGTCATGCAGCTGTAAGTGAAGGTGACCCGCTTCCTCCACAGACGTCTCATGGGGCCTGGGAGGCCTAGAACAGGCTGGTCGGTGGTGAGGGAAGGATGGTGATTGAAAGACAAAATCAAGAATTAGTTCAAGAGGCTCTGAAATGCCAAGAATGCCTCTGGTCATGGACATGTTCTGTGTGGGCTGAGGGGTAAAACTAGGCCTGACTATTGAGTTGGTACGTTGCAGTACAGCCTTACCAGTTGTTAAAATATTTCCTGCCAGTCAGCAAGTAGATGTGACCCCAACCTGTCCGTCCTCCTCTGCTGTCCCAGTGCCTCCCCTTGGACTCTTTAGACCTCCCACAAACCTATGACTGAAGGAGTAATGTGTGGCATAGCAGGGGGCCTCCAGAACCCTTCTCTGGTACCATGGCTTGAGTCTATTTTGACCAGTCAGTCCATGTCCATCATACTGTATATTAAATATTTTAACATCACTCCAGGGTAAAATTACTGTGGGAGTAGAAGCCACAGGTAGGTAGATTTCAATTCAATATAAAGAAAATCTTTCTCAAAAGAGAGCCACCCAAAGTTAAAACAGGCTGTGATGGTCCATCTGTGGGACGGAAATGGTACCTCATTAGAAAAATTTCTGCATCATTGTCATATACAAATAAGAATTCTGCCTGAGTGACTGCTATAAGGGTTGGTCATTGCTCCTGAGGGCTCAGTCTTGGGCTCAGAGACACTTCTATTTATAAAGTACACACACACACCACTCTGCAATCTCCGTGTAGCTGGATGCAATGTTTTGACTGACAGGCTGATTCCTCAGAAACTTCAATGAGCTAACTCAGGCCTAAGCAGCCTATTAACTCCCAGGCTCACCTGAGGCCATGGCTAGAGGTAGCAGGCAGTCAAGGGAGTGAGATCGGGGGTGCGCCCAGAGCAGCACTAACAAGTGAGCAGGGACCATGTGCTCCTTAATGAGGCCAATTCAACAGGATTAGCACACAGTCATTCAGACAGCTAAGGGGAGGCAGGGAGGGGGGCAGATTTAGATGTCACTGAAGAACCATCAAGCCTACTAGAGTGCCAGCTCCAGGACCCAGGCCCTTCCAAGTCAGGAATTCACAGTTGTATACAAAGAGCATCTTTGTCATGGGCCTCCAGCCCCTACCACGGAGCCTAGAGCTTCAGGACAGAAACGAAAGGAGTAGGATGTGTGCATTTTGATTGAAGTTCTACTTCCTCATTCCTGCATGGTCCTGTCAAGTGTGCATATCCATATCCAATGTCATGGAGCAGTGAAAAGGGGGCTGGGATGGTGAGAGAATTGGAAACCCTGGCCCATGGTTGAAGTAGTCTGGGATGTTTATTCCAGAGAAGGCCTGAGGAGAGCATTTCACTGTCTTCGCATACTTGAAAGGCTTCGTGTGAGAGGATGGTATTCTTGTTCTGTGTGGCCCTAATGGGTGGAATTGGTGTGTGCCGGTAGAAACTACAGGGAGTCGTGTTCCATCATACTATATAAAAATATTGAGAAGGTGACAAAAGATAGAACAGTCTGTCTTAGGAGGTAGGGAGTTCCCTACTACTGAGATGTTCCAGTACTAACTAGAAAACTTCTTGGCAAAAATAATGTAGGTGGCATTCGAGAGATGGGGACCAGACTTGATCTTAAAGATACCCTGAATCCTAGTATACCATGCCATTTGAGCCTCAGAATAGTGCTACAACTCTACCCTATAATTCTAGCTTGAGGTAGCCCAATTTTCCAAAATGAGGAAAGAAATCCTGACAAAAGCACAAAGGTTAGTCTCATTTGCATGCCTTCTCTTACCTACTTTGCCTGATTTCAGTTTCGCCTCTCCTTTTCCTCACGGCTTCCTGTGTCCTAGGCCAGGAAAGAAGGCAGCTAAGAAATGTGCCTGCACTAAGGGATTATTGGCTTCTTGCTAGACCCTAACCAGGTGCATTTTGCATTTTAAAGGAAGTTTCCAGGGAGAAGTCAATCGTTGGCCCAAAGAAATGACTCCCTAGTGATATCATTCCAGGCACCCAAAGGAGGAGTTCTGAGTCTGGGGTAGTCCTCCCTGCACCCCTCGAATAATGGTCTGTGGGCACCTGCCTGTTCCACCACAGCTGTGTCCCCCTGGCTACAGAACAAACACATTCATGTCCCTTTGACCTGAACTAATAACTGGATTCCTGCATTTGCCCCTGTGCCCACAGTGTTTCTGGTGGGGAGCTCTTTGACCGAATCCTGGAGCGGGGTGTCTACACAGAGAAGGATGCCAGCCTAGTGATCCAGCAGGTCTTGTCAGCAGTGAAATACCTCCACGAGAATGGCATCGTCCACAGAGACTTAAAGGTGCCACGGCAGGAGTCTTTGATGGGAAACCGAGAATGACCCTTTAGGAAGCTGCATAGGTCATGCGCAGTCTAAGCTCTGTAAAATGAGAGGGTTGGATGAACAGACTCCTAAGGCCCCATCTGCCCTTAGATTTCTTAAATAAATCTTGGATGACTGAACAATCATTGTTAATTTGTACACAGTCTTTACTGAACTTTTCACTAGGCTTCACCATAATTAGGATACCAAGGTAATCCACACGTTTGTGGAACCCAGCCACAGTCAAAATCAAATGTAATAAATACTTGTTGAGGGTCAGCATTGCATCAGTCAGGTACCAGACTTTAGAGAGATCAGAGACAATTAACTAGGGGCTGGTTCCCTCAAAAAACAAACAGTCTTAGGGTAGTTGGGGAGGAGGAGAGGGAGGGATTGGGATGTTAATGGCTATAAAGCTGAGCAAAGTCAGGACCATAAGCAAAATACAGAGTGCTAGAGTGCAGAGGGGGAGGAAGACGGGAGGAGGAAGGAGGGAAGAATGGGGGGAGATGAGCTTGGCCTTGAAGTCAGGAGCCCAGGGTGCAGCTTCCTAAGAAATTATGTGTTTCAGGTGATTATATCCTATACTACGTGATATTTCTCTTCTTCCACAGCCTGAAAACCTGCTGTACCTCACCCCTGAAGAGAATTCTAAGATCATGATCACAGACTTTGGTCTGTCTAAGATGGAGCAGAGCGGTGTCATGTCCACTGCCTGTGGGACCCCTGGCTATGTGGGTGAGTCTGGGAGCAGGAGGGAGGTTAACCAGTTGGCTGTGTTTAACCACATGGATATTATTCACAGGGAAGGGTGGTTGTGGGGGGACAGGGTTCAACTTCAGGGGCAATCCAGGTAGGGCATTCACTTAGGAGGTTTAGGGCCAGCCAATCCATCACTCTCCGGAACTACCCCTACTGCTCCCAAATCCAGCATCTTTAAGACAACCCACAACTGAGTCTTTCCCACAGTCACTGCCTTTACTTTGTCTCTCACTTTTGCAGATAGGCTTACTGCCTTTGTCTTTCCAGCTAGACCAGGGGCAAAGACAAGATCACAAACCCAGAGATGATAAGATTGCTAGGGAGTTGACCACTAGCCCCTCTTTCCTTTCTGCCTTCTAGGGGAGACCTCAGATCCCCAATTGTTGGTATCCTGGTATCCAGAGGCATAGTGTTGAATTTGAATCTGAGGGCCCAGATATGGGCCCTCAGATATACACCCAAAGAAACACCCTAGGAAACTGGCATAAATGGGCCCCCAAAAAGTACGAGCAGGCAAGTTATCAAGTGAGAGCGTTCCTGAGATCCATGGGGAGAAAGCCAAAACTCAGAGCTTCCACTCCTGCCCCTTCCCTCTTAGCCAGTCATCACCTGGTTGGGGATGGGAAGTGGGAAGCAGAACCCTGACTCAATAGAGGGAATCTGTTCTCTCCCTAAATGAGAGGTGAGTCATTTACCATCAGGTGTGGAGTCCCACTGGGTACAAAGCACTGGTATCTGGGATAAATACAGAAGGTAGCTCTCTACTGTCCCAAAGCCCCCAGTGAGAGGACAACATGACTCATTCCCTCATGGAGCTCTCCATCTGACGGGGCAGACTAAGCCCTGCTCTCAGAAGGTACCAGAGACTGATGGGACAGTTACTACCTGCCCTCTGGGAGTTCCTCACTTAACAGGCGAGACTCAGTCTCTGCCTTCAGGAAGATCCCAGTCTACGGGTAGAGAGACGGCCCCTACCTCGCAGATTTCCCCTGTCTGAAGGGAGACACAGAGCTTCTGCCCTGAGGATCCCCCAGCTGAGTAGGGAGACACATGCCCTGCCTTCAGAGACTACTCAGCCTGATGGGGGAGACATAGCTCTGGAGATCCCCAGTCTGATGGGGGAGTCATAGGCCCTGTCATGGACTTTCCAGTCTGATAGAGGAAGATTTAGTCTGATGGGAGAGACACAGTCCCTGCCCTAAGAGAGTTTTCAGTCTTATAGCAACAGCACCATCCCAGGGTCTGCCCTACTCCTCTTCTCTAAGCCTCTTCCTGACCTTCGGCCCTCACCCCTCAGCCCTCTCCTCTCGCCCCAGCCCTGACTCTACCTTTGGTTTGTTGCAGCTCCGGAAGTGTTGGCCCAGAAACCCTACAGCAAGGCTGTGGATTGCTGGTCCATTGGCGTCATCACTTACATATTGTGAGTAGAAGCTGGCATTGGCTCAGAAGTCGCAGCGCTTGCTCACCCCTTTTTCTCCCCTCTCCTGCTGCTCCTCAAGCAGCATCCACCTCCAAAGCATGTGTATGTACACGTGCCTACACACACACACACACACACACACACACACAGACACACACACACTTACTCATGCACGCAGCTCCAAAGGTTCCTGTCGTGATCTCCATCAGGTTAAAAAAGAGAGTTCAGTGTGAACCCACTGTTCAGCACCCTCTTCCTGCACCCCCACCCGCATTTACTATACATAAATGTGTTGAGTCCTGCTCTGAATGAGCAATGAAAAGGGGAGAGGCCAAGCCAAGCCTGGACGCCAAGTGGGCACAGTGTTCCCATCTCAGCCTGTGACAACTTCAGCCCAAGGTAAATTGATGGCCTGGATGAACCTGGTCATTGCTCCTCTCCACACATTCTTAGGTCTCCTTTCCAAACCTGCTCATCACCCCTTCCCCACCGTTCCACCTCACCTATAGCAAAATGTGCTCTTAGAAAAATAACCTGCTATTAGTGATTTACCCCTTAGTGTGGATTCAGTTCTCTCTTTCCTCAGCTTATGTTGAATAACTACTCTCATTCCTTCATTTACTTAGCAAATATTCATTGACTGCCTACTCTGTGCCAATCACTGGTTTAGGTACTAAAGAATAAAGAACAAAAGAGCCTAAAAAAATCCCTCATGAAACTTACATTCAAGTGGAGATCCTACCATCCTTCTTAAAGATATTTTACACATCATCTAAGAATTCGGGGGAAGTACAGGGAGAGGCGGCGAGGATTTGGTACAAAGGTACAAAGGGGCCTTCCAGCGCTGCCCACCCCGAGCTTTGGCTTCTGCATAGACACTCGATGGGACCTGCATCATTCCTGAATCAGAGGCAGATCCATGTCCTGGTCACAGTGCTGGTCAGAGACCTGTTGCCTGCCTGTGTACAACGGTGGGAGGCTGGGCAGAGGGGAGAGGCTGGCCCAGGGTCCACGGGGTTGTTCAGCAGCATACCTCCTTTCTGTGCCACTGCAGGTTGTGTGGATATCCCCCTTTCTACGAAGAAACTGAGTCTAAGCTTTTTGAGAAGATCAAGGAGGGCTACTATGAGTTTGAGTCTCCATTCTGGGATGACATTTCTGAGTCAGGTAAGGCCAGTGAGTGTGAAGGACAAGATAACAGGCTCAAGGCAGAGGCTGCCTAGAGAAAAGAGCTTAACAAAGGATGACAGTCCTGGCTCTTGAAAGTCCCCAGGGAACCTTACAGAACAGGCTGCCCAGGAAAGTAGAGAAATCTTCATCTGGTTCAAAGGACGAATAAATTATTTGCATCTAAGTTTCATGCTTTTGTTTTCCTAGAGGCGGAACCACAGTATGTCTGCTAAAGAGGGGCAGGTAGTTTAGATGAGGGCCAGGAGGGCAGAGCCAGGCACAGGGAGTGTTCCAGGCAGAAGTGGCAAAACCAAGGCCACGTTTTGCCTTTTACATAACAAGACCGAGAACACGCAAGTTCTGTGTGTGAGAAGGCAGTCGTTACAAGTTGTTGGCTCCATTAAGCGGAGATCAGAGCTGGAAAAAGCCAGCACTCACATGTGAGCCCATGTGCAGGTGCTAGCCCCTGAATCAGTGCAAATGCACGCCCGCATGGCGTGCACGCGTGCTGGTGCCTCGTGACGAGATGTATCTGCAGTGCTGTGTGGGTGAGGCTGTGCAGAGCGTGTCTTTGGTGGTTTACGGTGGGTTGTTGTTAGGTGGTTTGAATTTTTTTCCTCTTTTAAGACTCTTAAAATTGCCTTTTTGGAAGATTAGCTAAAGATGCATTCTCTGCCACCCACCAGCCTGGAAGTGAATTTCCATCAGTCATGAAATCTGGTCCTTAGTTGTCGTGTCTTTGATTGCTCCCCTTAGCCAAGGATTTTATTTGCCACTTGCTGGAGAAGGACCCGAATGTGCGGTACACCTGTGAGAAGGCCTTGAGGCACCCCTGGTGAGTGAGGAATGGGGTGGGCTCTAGACCCTAGTCTGGTGGCTCCCAAAACACCATGCTGACTGGTTCACACTGCATTTCCCTGGAATCTGCTTGCCCTGAGCTGTTTACTGTTGCGACATCCAAGGAGCATAGCAGTGTTCGTCAGGTCCAGCTGGAGATGCAAACAGTGTTTACTTGAGTAGGTTTGACCCAAGGGTGGCAGCTGGGTAGTCCAGTCAAGTGCAGGAGGCAGACACAGCCAGGCACTGTCACCCAGCACTAGGGTGCAATACTCAAGGGACACCCCGGAATAGGCAACTCTGCTCTGTCCTTAAGAGCATCTGGGGTCAAAGGTTGTGGTGATTTAAGAACAATCACAAAGCAACCAATTGGTAAAGTGGGTAAATAAAATCTTAAAATACTTCTTTTCTTCATGCTACACCCCTGCTCAAGAATTTACAATAGTTCCCCACTTCCTACCATGGCAAGCCTCAATTCCTTTGTTTTTCCAAGTTTTCCCTAATCCAGCCTGATCCTTTATCTCCAACTTCATTTCCCAGGATTCCCAACACACCTTCTCTATTCCAGGAAGGCCTAAAGCTATATTGTCTCCCTGCCCTCCCCCGCCCATATTCCAAGCTCTTTCTGAACTACACCTTGGGTCATACCACATTCACCACCTAGAAAGTCCTGCCTCTTGCCTTGTATGTAGCATCCTCCAGGATCCAGAGCAGCCTCTGTCCTTACCTGAAGCCCTGGCTCCTGCAGTCCAGGCAGACCGGTCCATCTCTCTTTATCAATTACCCAGCTTACCGTGAATTACTCTAGCTCACGGCACGAAACAAGGTCCACATCTACAGTGAAAGCCCCTAGGGATCAGGGCCCACGTCTGTTACTCCTCTGGGTCCCTAAGCGCCTACCAAGGACTGTACACATAGCAAGCATATGAGGAATACAGAGACGGGTGAATGAGAGGCTGAGGGGAAGGGAAGGGGGCAGCCTATATCTGGGGGCCTCATTGAGGAAGGCTTCCAGGAGGACGTGGGTTCTGAGCAAAGTTTTGAGCTAAACGATGGTGACAACCCAAGTGCTCTCTGACAAGAGGTCGGTAAACTTTTTCTGCAAAAAGCCAGATAGTAAATATTTTAGGCTTTGCTGGCCGTACCATCTCTGTGGCAACTCCTCAACTCTGCCATTATAGCATAGCCATAGCCCATAGCCAAATGCATGGGCATGTCTGTGTCCCAGTAAGACCTTATTTACAAAAACAGGCAACAGGTAGATTTGCCCACAGGCCATAGTTTGCCAATCCTGCTCTAAAGCAAGGTTTTGGTTTTGCCAAAGCATGCTCTATGACCTGCCTGGGGGACAGAGGAGCCTTGGTTCCAGCCCTTTACTATTGTAGGCCGCCCTCCTCCTGGGGGCCTCCCTAGACTTAACGTGGACCTACATGCACAGCACCCTGCCCATCCCCTGGCTGAGTTTCCATAGCCACCCACTAGCCAGGTGTCCCTTCTGCATCCACAGGATTAACGGAAACACAGCCCTCCACCGGGACATCTACCCATCAGTCAGCCTCCAGATCCAGAAGAACTTTGCCAAGAGCAAGTGGAGGGTAAGTTATCCTCTCCAGGAGGTGGGTAGGCTCTTCTGGGCCCCTGGAGGCTGGGCTGGGGCAGGGGCTGGTGTAGGGGCTTCCCTTGGGGCCTCCCAACAGACTCTGGAGCTCCCTGGACCCTCTCTGAAATGAGAAGTGGCACCTCGGTTTCAAGAGGCCACAGGGCAAAGGGAAAAGCTTGAGCCCCGTGGCCCTCTGAGGATGGAGACAGCCAGAGGCTGGTCTTGTGTCTCCTTAGCAAGCCTTCAACGCAGCAGCTGTGGTGCACCACATGAGGAAGCTGCACATGAACCTGCACAGCCCGGGCGTCCGCCCGGAGGTGGAGAACAGGCCGCCCGTCACTCAAGCCTCAGAAGCCTTGAGACCCAGCTCCCCTGAGATCACCATCACCGAGGCACCCGCCCTGGACCAGAATGTGGCACTCCCTGCCCTGACCCGGCTGCCCTGCCAGCACGGCCCCTGGCACACTGCCCCCGGTGGCAGGTCCCTCAACTGCCTAGTCAATGGCTCCCTCCGCATCAGCAGCAGCCTGGTGCCCATGCGGCAGGGGCCCCTGGCCATCGGACCCTGTGGCTGCTGCTCCAGCTGCCTGAGCATCGGGAGCAAAGGGAAGTCCTCCTACTGCTCTGAGCCCACACTCCTCAAAAAGGCCAACAAAAAACAGTACGTATTTTCAGTCAAAGACAGAGGCATAGCCCCACTCAGCCTGTGTCTGAAACAACTCAGGCAACGGGGCTGAAAGAAATTGGCCACTCAGAGGCCACTCTGTAGGGTAGGAAGACCTTCGGATCGGGGGCAAGGGAAATGCTTCCAGTCCTGTCCCTACTACTCACTAGCTGTGTGGCCGTTGACAAGTCCATCAATGTCTCTGTTTCTAGTTTGCTCATCTGTAAAATGGGTTGATTGAATTATATTTACCTGCTCAGCCTACCTCACAGAGGTACTGTAAAAGTTTAGTGAAGCAACAGAGATTATAATGCCCACAGAAAACCAGGCACATGTGAGTGGTGAGCATTAGATTCCTGGAGTTTGCAGGGCCTCTGTGTTGGGGGCGAGGAAAGGGACCTTGGTTGTCTTATTTGTCTTTTCTGCAAGGGCTTGTACTTTCTGAACCTCATACAGGGAGGGCTGAGTGGATGCCACAGGCACAGAGAACTATCTCAGCTCTTCTTCTTGATCCCCAAAGACTTCATAGCCTGCTGCTTCATTTCCTCTCCAGGAACTTCAAATCAGAGGTCATGGTGCCAGTTAAACCCAGCGGCAGCTCGCATTGCCGCGCGGGGCAGACTGGAGTCTGTCTCATTATGTGATCCCTGGAGCCTGTGCCTGTGTCACTGCAGTTTTCAGGTGAGGGGACTAGAGGCAGGAGGGCCAGAGTGGGGGGCTCAGGGCTGGGGTTGGGGGGAGCTTCTGTCCCAGAAGAAAAGCCCCATCCCAGAATCTAAACGACAGGGTCTGAGGGGTGCCAGAGGTGGCAGCCCCACCGCCACCCTGAACCCCTTCCCTCTGCAGGAGAGACGTTCGACTCTTCTCTGTCCTTCCAAACCTGGAGTCTACCCTGCAGCGAGAGGAAGGGGGGCAAGTGAAGCGGGGCCTGGCAGAAGTGGTTTCTGGTCAGAAGCAGCAGACTGCTGTCCGGGGCAGACCCTCAGAGAAGGCCCAGGAGTGAGCCCCAAGGCGCAGAGGCGTCGTTGAAGCTGCGGGCAGGAGGAGCAGCATCCACCAGCTTCCAGGTCTCCCCGGCCTGCCTGCTCTGTGCCCCACACCCTACGTGCCGTGGCTCTGTGCAGTGTGCGTAGATAGCTCTTGCCCGGGTCTGTGCTGTTTGTCGTGAAAAGCTTAACGGGCTAGCCAGACTGTGCCACCTTCTCCGAGCAAAGCCATATGGAGCATCTACCCAGACTCCAAGCTCAGCACCCACTCACTCCTGCCTCTCAAGCCTCTGTCCTCACGGCCAGGATGGGCTCATTAATGCAGTCACCTGCCCATCTGCACGAATGACAGGCAGCTCTACCCGTGAGCTCTCATCTCTAGGATTAGCTCCCAACCACGCGGAGACCCAGCCAACCTACTCCCAAGACACTTCTGGACCACCTCCCTCCCTGCCCCAGTCCAAAGGCCTCCAAGACGAAAAAGAAAGAAATCCATGACTATTGTACTGTACTGTACTGTATTGTACTGACATGTACTGTAAGGAATTATTACCCTGGCCAGATGCCCTCCACACACACGCCCAATTAAATTGGAAGTTGACTGTTTTAATTTCAGCTGGTAATTCAAATCCTGCTTCTGCTCTGCCTTTCTCTCCCCGAAAATCAGACAGAGTACTCCTGCCCCTCCCCAGTTTTCTTGCCCTCCACCCCCTCCAGCTTCGTGCTCAGTGTTGTGCTCAATAAATGGACATATTTTTCTCTACGAGGCTTCATTTGGTTCTTCTCGACCTCAGAAGCAGCTCAGGGACTTCTGACCCCGTGTGGAGTGGAAAGTGCATGGAGAGCTTGTGGTCAGGGAGAACCCAGCCGTGGTCGTAGGTGACGTGGACTGGGAGCACACAGTGTGCCAGGCACCTGGTAACACGAGTCCCACGTACTGGCTCATTTACTCCCCAGAACAACCCCTTGGGGTTGGCTCTGTTGGAGCCCAGGTAGTCTGGCTCCAGCGTGCATTCTCCTAATGACTGTATTGGATGAACAAGAATTGGAGGCCCAGCTCTGCCCTGCCATATCTGTGACTGTGGGGAGTTACTCGGCCTTTTGTGCCTTGGTTTCCTGACCTGTCAAACAGGAATAACAGCATCACCTACATCCCGAGATGATGCAGATGATGTGTCTAGCACAAAGCTCAATAAATAATTAATATGATTATTAACGATCAAGAAGCTAATTGAGGGGCCGGCCGAGTGGCGCAAGCGGTTAAGTACACGCGCTCCACTGCGGCGGCCCAGAGTTTGCCGGTTCGGATCCCAGGCGCGCACCAACGCACTTCTTGTAAACCCATGCTGTGGCGGCGTCCCATATAAAGTAGAGGAAGATAGGCACAGACGTTAGCTCAGGGCCAATCTTTCTCAGCAAAAAGAAGAGGATTGGCATCAGATGTTAGCTCAGTGCTGATCTTCCTTACGAAAAAAAAAAAAAAAGAAGTTAATGGAGATAAAATGCCTAGCACAGTGCCTGGACCATGGTTAGCACCCAAACGTTCATGCCATTCCTGTATTTGCCCCCAACACACATACACACACATATATATCTGTTTACAACTTCTCTTTGAGATCCCGAGAGACACAGACTCTAGTCTCAGCTGTGCCTCTAGGAGCTGTGTGAATTTGGACACCTTGCTTCCCTTCTCTGGATGTCTATTTCCTCATCTGTAAATAGAAACTGGATCGCTGCTCAAAGACGAAACTGGCCCCTCTTGTCTTTCAAGGGTGGAATCCATTGGGTCCTAGGACAAAGGGGTCCAGTGTCCCCAAGTTTGGGTGATGAGCAAGCTGGACTGAGCAGAGTGGGGCAGCCTGTGTGTCATATACCACCAGCCCTTGTGCTAGAGCAGAGGAGCATCCAATAACCCCAAACGGGAGACAGAAGCAAGTGACAAAAGTTTCCTTAATGAGGAGAGAGACCATCTTCCCTCTTTGAACCTCCAGGTTTCTTTCCAAAGATTTTTATTGGGCTTTTCATTTGTACATCACTTTTTGCGGAGTTTTTGTGTTGGTCCAGGATTCGGCCTCAATGGAGGATGAAGGGCGAGGACACTGCCCAGCCAAGCTCCCTCCACTTGAGATCTCCTAGTCACAACGACATGGCCCACCTCCACCATCTCCGTCCCTCAAATGTATTTGTCCCATCCGCTCAGGCTCAGCTGCAGCCCAGAGTAATCTCAACAGCTGCACACCAGGGGTGGTCCAGGCTGTGCTGGAGGCTGCATAAAAGTCTCCTTGAGCTGGAAAGTATTCCAACCCCGTCCGGCCCCCAAAAGCAAAGAGGGCAGGGGCTGGAAGCTGGAGCATCACTTGCAGGTGGCGTAGTAGAGCACACGCCCATTAATGTAGTCACGAATCTGCTCCACGTGCTTCTCCAGCCCCGTCAGGTCCGCTGAGCGAAGCACGATGGCCTGGCTCCCCCGCTGCAGCTCCAGCTCCATGTCTGAGGGCAGATGGAACAGCAGAGGGAGGAGGAGGAGCTGGTGAGACACCCAGAGACTCCCAACCCTTCCTCCTCCTCCCACCCACCGGGAGGCAGCACCTGTCGGAGAAATCGCCTTAGGGGAGTCTGGCCTCCACGGCAGCTCTCTCCAGCCTCATGCCTCTCCAGCCCCAGCCCACTCAGAGAAATGTGGCAGGGGCCAGACCCAGGAAGCCCTTACCCCAATTAGTCGCTTGCCCTTGCCCTTCTCCTCTGCTCTAGGCTCTCTCAGTTGTCCCAGACTGAGGAGGGAGGCCACTGGCACCAAGATTAGCAACCACTGCTCTGGACCCAGACAGCTGCCATCCCACCGATGATCCTTAAGTGGGCACCATGGCAAAAGAGCTGGTAGGCTGCCAGAATTCTTCCTCACTTTCCTTCCCAAAATGCTACTCCAGATAAATCTAGTCCTCCCCCTCCAGTCCACTCTGCAAACCACCAGACCATGTGTGGAGGATTTGAAGGATTCTGAAGTGATCTAGTCCAGCCTGTCCCTCCTGTCATCCTAGGCAGGAGTCCCCTCCACCACATTCATGAGAGCTAGAACCCAGCCTCAGCTTGAACTGTTCCAGGAACAGGGAGGGGAGCACTGCCCTACAAGCCTCCAACTTGACACAGCTTTAGTTGTTAGAAACATCTTCTCATTAAGCCAGAATCTGACCACTTCTTCCTTCCACCCAATTGTCCCAGATCTGTCTCCTGGGGGTCACTGTTGTTATTGTTGTTAGTGCCATCAAGTCAACTCCAACTCCTAGCAACACTGTGTACAGCAGAGGGGAACCCTGCCCGGTCTTTTTTCCCCATCCTCCCACCTTCCAGCGCTGTATCAGACAATGCTCTGCTGCTATTCATAGAGTTTTCACGGCCAATTTTTTCTCAAGTGGGTGGCTGGGTCCTTATTCCTAGTCTGTCTAGTCTGGAAGCTCCACTGAAACCTGTCCACCATGGGTGACCCTGCTGCTATTTGAAATAGCAGTAGCATAGTTTCAGCATCACAGCAACCCACAGCTGCCAAAGTATGACAACTGACAGACAGGTGGTGTGGTTCCCTGACAGGAACCGAACCCGGCCACGGTGGTGAGAGTGCCAATTCTTAACCACTGGACCACCAGGGCTGGCTGTCCTGGGGATGTAGGAATATATTTGCTCTCCCACATGGCAGTCCTTCAAAAGTCTGAGCCTTATCTTCTCCAGATTAAATCTCCCTAGTTCCTTCATCCATTCCTCGTCTGATATAATTAACGAACCCTTCCCTACCTCCCAACCCTGGTCACCCTCCCTTTGATGTATGCAGGTTTGTCAACATTCCTTCTGAAGATATAGTAGCCACCACTGAACACCATCTCCCTGGCAGGATCCTATCAGCAGAACGTAACAGCGTTATTACCAGGCTGACATTCAGCCAGTAGGCACTCATATGGACCTATGGGTTGATAAAATATTGAAATTTTAACAGCTACTGTTCTGTTCTCTGGTCCCAACCCCTAGAGGCCCCCTGTCCATGATCTTCCCTATAACCCTGCAAATAAAGGTTAATTCCTACAAGCAGGTAAATGCTTGTTCCAATGCTACAACCTGAGCCTTTTCAGGTTGGTCGGTGCATGACACACCAGTTACTAAATATTTTTAATCTCATCCCTGAGCTATTACTCCCCTTATTTTGGCGCTTTGTATTTATTAGCTCTTTTGGCAGTAGCAAGACACTGCTGACTTATATCAAGCTTATAGTTACTCAAAACTCTTGGGTCTTTTTCAGGTGAGTGACATCTCGTATGTGCTTATCACTTACCAGTCATAAAGTGTTTTCAGCTACATTAGCCACTGAGAATAAGCCGGGCCTCACCTGACCTGTACTTGTGAGTTTAGGTCCAGACAAGGCCAGAGTGGAAGTTAATTTTTCTCCTTATTTAATTTCATCCTGTTAGTTTCAGCCCATCTTTTTAGACTTCTGAGACTGCCTTAGAATACTGGTTCTGTTATCTAGTGTATTAACTATCTGTCGTCCATAGACTTGATAAGCAAATTCTTTATCTTCATATAAAACATTGATGGGCAAGGCCAGGGCATGCACTGACCCAGCCTCTGGGCTCCGCCATCTAGGTCAGCTCCTCTTGCCTCACCCTTCAGGTGTGACTGGCCATAGGCTCATATGTACTCACTGTCAACTTGCCAGTCCCACCTTCTCCATAGTGTCCACCTGGCTTGCCAAGCAGATTTTTGTCAAAAGCTTTCTCTAAAATTCAGATAAACTCTGGTTGTGGCACTCACTGGGCACACCAGTGCAATGACCCCATCATCACATCTTAGAGACTGAACCTGGTTCCTGGAAATCTTTGTTCTGCTTTCTGAGGAACCTCAGAACCCTTTCAAAATCTCCTTTCATTACGTCTCTGCCATATTCAAAACCCTTGGGCGGTTTCCTACTACCTCCAGGGCTGAGTGTACCCTCCTCATCCTGGCATCAAGGCCAGCTTCATGGACCCAGATACGCTGACCCCATGCTACTTCCCCCTGTTCTGGTCCTCATCAACCCTCCTCTCCTATTGGGTGGTCCTCGCTCCATCCTCAGAACATGCCTTGTTCCTTCCCATCCACCTGTCTTGATGTCCCTCCTCCTCCCCATAGCCTCTCCCAGGACTACACATCCTTCCAGGCCCACCTCAAATCTTATCTTTTCTGAACATCACCTTCACTGAACATTTCTCTCTGACATTATTTATCCTCTGAACCCCTAGAACTCTTATTATTTGGGTTCCTATCACAGGCCCCCTTGTGCTGTTAAATACAGCTTCACGATTCTTATGGGCAATAGGAAAAATGGCCCCATCTGGATTGCAAGC